GTTTTCTTTGGCTCTTTTCGACCTAATTATACTTCCTAGAAGGAAATGAATCCAAGAAGAACAATTTCAGTATGGTCAATTATTGTTCTAATATATGAATAGAGTTAATAATTTTTTTTTAAAAAAAAGCAACCTGAAATTTTAATTTCATTGGTACTAGTGGTCGAAAAGTAAGGAGACCCATTGCACTGGGAAAGTCTTCAATTAGGGACCTCTCCAAATTACGAAGGAGTAATGATGTCAGTTTGAGAACTAAGGTACATCTGATTCAGGCCAAGTAATCTTTCTGATCACTTGCTATGCATCTGAGAGCTGGGCAATGAATAGGGATAATAGATGAATTGATGCCTTTGTGCTGTGGTGTTGGAAAAAAGCATTGAACATCCATGGACGGCCAAGAGAACGAACAGATATGTCTTGGAGAGGGTGCAGCCAGAGCGCTCTTTGAGGGCAAGGATGATGAGGCTTCACCTCACATACTTCAGGGATGCTGCTAGGAGGGGCTATTCCTTGGAGAGGGACATGATGTTGGGAAGGGTGGAGGGTCGGCAAAGGGGAGGAAGACTTTCAGCCAGCTGGATTGACACAGTGCCTGCCACAGCGGGCTCTGGTGTGTTAGGAAGTGTGAGGATGGTGCAGTATAGGTTGGGGGTTCAGATCTGTTGTTCATAGGGTCACTATGAGTCAGAGTCGACTTGATGGCACCTAACAACAACAAACGTATACATTTTCTTCTGGTTTGACTTCACATTTCTCTTGTCAATAGGGATCATCTCTGTTTAGCAGAGTAAGGACAGACTCTGAGGAGTGATTGGCAAGTCCAAGTACAGTTTACACTTAGAAGCTCTGCTCACAAGCCCTGTTCTATTGTGGCTTACAGGGACTTGTTCTGCTAACTCAAGGGTGGTTCTTCTCTGTGATTCTAATCTACCAGCAATTCCACCAGCAAGGGAGAAAGACGAGCTGTCCATTCCTTGTCATTTACAGCCTGGGAAACCCAATGATGGAGGGCCAGCTATGAGCTGATTCTGACTTAAAGACAATGACTTAGATTGAGTTTATTCTTCGCCATGATTGGATGACATGAAATAAGAATTTTTTTAATTGGAAACCCTACTAAAGTTTAAATTGTGAGATATTTAGACCTGTCTAGACAGAGACAGGTATGTATAGAAATCTATCCATAGTTCAAGGAGTCCTAGGAGCACAACAATGATGCAATCACCTACCAATGAACAGGTTGTTGTAGTTGTTGCATGCCGTCAATGGGACATCATAGCTGACCGTCCAGCAGGTTTTCAAAGCAGCCAATCACCTGGGAGAAGAGTCCCAGTCCTTCTCCTGAGGAGCAGGAGGCTCTAACTTAGCCACAGTTCCGTCATAGTAAGGACCTGGTTGTTCGCTTCCATGAAGACTACAATTTAGGAAACCCAGTGGGACCATCCTGTGCTGTTCTCTCCAGTTACACTCAATCCACAGCCCAAAACAATGCCATCACTATGAGTAAGGAGACTAGCTACCGAGGAGTCATTGCCAACTAATGAAAACCTTGTCTGTATCTTGGTAGACCTGTTCTCCATAGGATTTCATTGGCTCAGTTTTTGGATGTGGATAAACAGACCTTTCTTCTGAGGCACCTTTGAGGAGATCCATTTTGATTAAAACTGAATACATTAACTATTTGCAGTATTTAGGAGCTTACTCATTGCCTCTCTTTTTCTGTGCATCTAAGTATATGCATTTATATATAGAATCTATATATATGGACAGAGCGGAGTTTAGGGCTGTTGTACATAGGGTCGCTATGAGTCGCAGGCGACTCGACAGCACATAACAACAACAACAACAACATATATAAGTATGTGTATATATCTATCTATATATTGTATATGTACGTGTGTGTGTGTGTGTGTGTGTGTGTGTGTGTATAGTTGTTGTCAAGCGTTGTTGGGCAGAACTGACTCATAGTTGACCCTCCAATGGATTTCCAAAGACTGTAAATATATATATACATATCTTAGGTTATTAAGTTCCCTGTGTAAGGAGTTTTGAGATGTGGCAAGAAGAGATAGCCTTTAAAAAATCCTCCAAAACATCCACGTTTGAAATGATAGACAGATTGCATGTTTCAATATATGACTCCTTTTCTTTGTTTACAGCTGCAAACATTTTTTGAGACATTCCTGAGGGCCAGTTCACCTCTTCAGGCTTTTGACAACATGAAGGAAGCAATCAACAAACTCCTGTTGGCAGCTGACGTATTCAGTGAATCCTCCACTCTGGGACCAAAGGCTTTCAATAGGTAAAGATAAATACCGACGTTCAAAAATGAGAGAGCTCTTACTGGCCCAGTGAGTAACAATATTAAATATTCCATGGACTGCTAGAGGGATGGTACAGCCAGCTGCTCCTTAGGACTGAGGCAGCCACAATTTGTTTCACATATTTTGGATATCATCTCAGTGACCTATCCCTGCTAGAACAGAAATACCATATATCAAAGAGCTCTGGTGGCCTATTGGCAAGAAGCTACACTGCAATCCCAGAGGTGCATGGTTAGAATCCACCAGGTGCTCTCCTGGAGAAGGAGGGACAATCTCCTCCTGTACCAGTCAGACCCAATTTGATGGTGCAAACATAGAAAAAGAGATAAAGACAGAGAGAGTGAGAGCTGGACAATGAATAGGGATGACAAATGAATTGATGCCTTTGAGCTGTGGTGTTGGAGAAGAAGGAAGGAAGGAAGGAAGGAAGGAAGGAAGGAAGGAAGGAAGGAAGGAAGGAAGGAAGGAAGGAAGGAAGGAAGGGAGAGAAAGAAGGAAATACCACAAGTGGTTGGTTTTAATGAACAGAAATCTATTGTTTCACTGTTTATGGGTCTAGAAGTCTGAATTCAGGATGCTAGTTTAAAGGGAGAGATCATGCTTAGCAAAGTAGGGGGTCAGTGGAAAACAGGAAGATTTCAAGGAGAGTGACTGACTCAGGTTCTGCGCCAGTGATCCAAGCATATCAACTGTGATGCACATGGCGCGGGACTGGGCAGTGTTTCCTTCTATTATGCATCATGTCACTATGAGTTGAAACTGACTTCACAAATACTTGCTCTGCATCAGAGAGCTGGACAATAACTAAGGATGGCAGGAGAAAAATCGCTGCCTTTGAATTGTTGTGGAAAAGACTCTCAAACATCCCATGGACTGCCAAGAGATCAGACAGGGCCGACTGGGAGACAGTATAACCAGGCTGCTCATTGGAGGCAAGGCTTCGGAAGCTCCATCTTGCAGACTTTGGGCATGTTGCCAAGAGGGACCAGTCCTTGGAGAAGGACGTCATGCTTGGAAGGATGGAGGGACAACACAGGAGAGGAAGATCCTAGATGAGATGGATTGACACAGTGACTGTTGTATAGGGGCAGATGTGTCAGAGATGGTGATACTGGCTCAGAATAGAGCAGAACTCAGAGCTATTGTTCATAGGATCGCTGTGAGTCATAGTCAACTTGACGGCATATAACAGAAACAAGGAGAAGGTTTTAATGACACCAAATGATAGAGTAAATGAAATAAATTGAGTATATCTTCATATTCCTGCATGTTTCCATTTCAGATGCAGGTTGTGTTTTCAACTTTTGACTTTTGACATTGGTTATGGGAGTTTCAGGAACCCTGTAATTCTGCAGGTGAGTGTGACCTTCTACATTTTGTTAAAGGATCTACAAGCCCCCCCTTCTGTGTGTGTGTGTGTGTGTGTGTGTGTGTATGCATACTGGTGGTGTCATCATCCATAATAACCAATCAAAAAAGACAGCTTTTATCAAAGGTACTGCATATTTCAATTTCATGCATTTCAATAAAGTCATGCATAGAGAGTCTATGGATTGCATTTCAGTAGAGTAAGCCATGATTTTAACATGATTTAACCACTGTTTGTGCTATATAGTCAAATGTATGCTAGTGGGAAAACAGATACGAAATCATAGAAAAGCTGATAGCCAGCCACAGAAAAGAGTACATCACCAACTTAAGCATATTGTATTGTAAAAAAAACTGTAACCCTCTCACTGTTAACTTTTAAATTGCTCACTTTTTTAAAGAGATACTATTTTTCTTCCTTTTTTACAATTTTTTAATTATTCATTTTAATCAATTAAAAAGGCAGAAGATTTAAAAATTGAGAGATGTTTTATTTTAAATTGCTCAACATTTAAATTTAAAAAGCTAGAGGGATTTAAGAAGTCTTTTTGTTAGTATTGTGTCCTCGTTGCCTTCAAGTCAGAACCGACTCCTTGCTCTCCCTCCAGCAGATTTCAGCAGATTTCTTTTCCTGGAAGAGCAGCTAGTGGATTCAAACTGCCTACCTTTGGGATGGCAGTGCAACTCTTTACCCCTTGGCCACCAGAGCTCTTCATAAATAAATACATGTTCTTGTATGCATACATTAAAAAAAAAAACAAGGGCTTGTTAAAATATACCTTGGTCCTTTATTCCTTTCTAATAAAATTAGTTTGCCCAGACCATCTACCAAATTCTCTTTTTCTGCTAACATATCCAGAAAAGAGAAAGACACTATCTTTAGAAAGAATTAATCTATAGAAGCTCTGTATTATAATATAGAGGCTATATATGGCCTGAGAAGAAAGAAAAGAGCAAAATAAAATAATATGTAATCTGAATTCAGCTAAGCAGGGCATTTAGTCATTCACACGCTCCTACGGAGATTCTGATTACACTATAGGTGGTTCAGACACTTAGTTGAGTAGCTCAAAGATTTATCCATAAACATTTGAAATTATGAATCTGCTTCTTCCAATGTTGTTTGTTGTTGTTGTTATGTGCCGTCGAGTCGCCTGCGACTCATAGCGACCCTATGTACATTAATAGCTAATAATTTCTATCATTATTTTTTAAATTTATAATTCATAAATACTATTTGTTATTTTCCATGAATTCTACAATAATATTTTCCAGATAGACTCCTATAACTTTATGATTCATTAGTTACATTTTCTTACCTATTAAAGAACAGGACCGTCAAAGAACTCCAATACTTACGACTGTAAAATTGCGGACCTCCAAAAAGACCACTAGATGTCAGTTCTGATCTATAATTCAAAAGAAAATAAATCACATCTTAGTAGTAATTCCACTGTACTGAAAGTAAGTCAATAGTAAATATTTGCTATGATTTTTTTTGAAGGTGCATGAACATTTGGATTTCCAAAACGATGATGATATGAATTTGGAGGACCAAAATACAGAAGAATTCCTTTTAAGAGACACATTCAATTTTCTCCTTTCTAATGAATCTTCATTTTCTATGTTTCCTGAAATATTTCAGAGACTTTACCAATCAAGTGCATTTAAAGTAAGTATATATTGATATGGTTTCTTCCAAGTCCTTCTTCAGAAGGTGCGATTTTCCTTATTATGCAAAAAGCAACACTAAACTAATTTGAAATTAATTTCTAGTTATTACACAATGTACTTCGTATTTTACTGACATGGAAAATCAGTATTATTTTATGTTCTCTGAGTATCTGATGACCACTGTGCATCCCCCACCCTCCCCACCCCCACTGAAGGGTCAGCGATGAGTTGATTTCAGCTCAATGACACATAACAACACGAAGTATATGGGAGGTGCCCCTACCTGGCCCAGTGCTGTAATATGGCTTTCTTGCCTAAAACTTGGTGGTTTGAGCCCACCCAGCAGTTTCGTGAAAGAAGAGCCTAGTACTCTGCTTCCATAAAGATTACAGCTAAGAAAATCCTATGGAAGATGCGTGGTGTCACCATTCATAGGAATTAGTTTAATGACAATTGGTTTGGTTTGGCTAAGTATGTGGGTAGCGATCTGTGATAAAATATTACGCTGAGAATGAAGAAAAAACAACTCCTAATTCCTACGTTCCTAATTCCTTTATTGATAGTATGCAATATATATGATATATATTCTATATTC